TTTCTCATTGACATGACTTTCTTCATCCATTGCTTTCACACAATGTGTCTTCCTACAGGCATCACTAAAAGAAACATAATCGCAATCTGCATATAAAGCAAAATTTATCAAATCCTCATCTGAAGGATCACTTTTGGTGTCAATCACATAATCCTTCAATCTAGCCGGTATATGTCGATCACATTGTGAACGCCTGGATGACTCTGACTGCAAAGATTGAACAACTGGGGACTGTTTAATTGGTTAGTCACCAATTGAATCATCAACATCAAAAGGAACAAGTGTTGCTGACTTGTCTTCTTTTGGGACCAATCCCATACACCTTGCTCATCAAAAGTGACATTTTTACTAATAATCATTTCTCTTTTGATAGAATTATAAAGCTTATACCCTTCGTAACTGAATTATACCCAATAAAAATACATTTTTCAGTCTTGTCCTTAATCTTTTTCCTGAGTGGATCAGGAATATGGGTATAGACAATACAACCAAATACCCTCAAATGCTGAATATCTGACTTCTAACCACTTTAAATCTCACAAAAAGTTTTTTCCTTAAAACTTTTAATAAAGGACCTATTCAAAACATAAACAACACAAGCAACAACTTTTACTCAAAAATTTTTAGGCATATTTTTAGATTTCAACATGCATCTAACAATATCCATAATAGTTATATTTTTTCTCTTCGCCACACCATTTTGTTGGGGAGTATAATTGACTGTCAACTGATGCTTAATACCATGATTTCTCAAAAAATTATCACAAACCATATATTTCTGAGCTCTATCAATCCTTAAAAATTGAATTTTTCTCCTACTCCGCCTTTCAACATATGCCTTAAAATACTTAAATGTATCACATGCATCAGATTTATTTTTCAAAATATAAACCCAAATCTTTTTTGTAAAAATCATTAATAAAGGTAATAAAATACCTACTCTCACCATTGGAAAAAACTTCAACTGAACACTAATCAGAATGAATCAATTCAAGGGATCTTTTTTGCATGCCAAGCTTGTTTATCCGGAAAAAAGTCCCTATGTTTTTTTCCCAAAACACAAGTCTCACCAACTTGACTAAAAATATTAATAAGAAAATTTACATGCATAAACCGCATATGTCAAAACCAATTATCCCCAGAAATTTCAAAATTAAAGTAAGGTAAATTCTGACACTTCATTTGTAAAGGGAACAATCGATTGAGTGTCATATTTACCTTTACTATTAGTTTTTTACGGTTGTTACTGATTTTACAAACACCATTAAAAATTCTAATATCATACCCCTTTTTCTAACAATGGAACCATACTCAATAAATTGTGGCTAAGATCGGAAAGATAATAAACATCTGGAATAGCATTCAAAGACCCATCTTTTTATTTCATAAAAATTTTACCTTTTTCCTTTTATGGGATGTTTGAAGCATTTCCAAATTTAATGTCTAATTAACAAATTCATTCAATATGGTGAACATCTCCCTATAACCATACATGTGATTACTACAGCCTGAATCTAGATATCGCATGTTGTCATGTTCTTTTGAACATCATCTACTACACTATCAGTCAAAAACAAAATTTCTGAATTATCATCATTACCCTATGTAATTTTAGCATGATAATTCTATTATCGAGTTTTCTTAATTTGAAGCACTCCCTTTTATAGTGCCCTCAATTTCCACAATTGTGGTAATTGAGTTTGAATTTATCACACTGTTCACCCAAATTATTACCTTTATATCTTTCTCCACTAGATCTGTTTTGCCACGTATTTTAGTTATTTGAATGCTGATATTTCTGATTTGATTGAGATTTATTATGAGACTCATCATTTTCCTTCTTGAAATTCGTTTGAGTCTGCAAACCTTTTTCTCTTATATTTTCAGTCTTTTCATTCAATCTTTGTTCATGGGCTTGCAGGGAACCCATCAACTCTCAGGAAATCAAGATCCTTTGAATCTATGATAGCTGTGACAATATACTTGAACCTCATTAATAAGGTCCGAAGAATTTTCTCCATAACTTGGAGATCTTTCTTAGCCTCGCTATTAGGTTTCATCTAATTGACAATAATCGACGTCCATGAAAAATAATCATATATACTTTCTAATTTTTTCATCTGAAAATGCTCAAATTGTCTGTGTAAAGTTTGCAATCGAACCTTTTTTAGCTTGTCTTGTCTAATATAACAATTGATCAAGATATCTCATGCCCGCCTTTGACGTCGAAACATGAGCAATCTTGTTGTAAATTAACAAATCAATTGCTTCATAAATATACATCAATGCTCTGCTGTATTTCTTTTGATTAATTATCAATTCATCTTTTTGGGCTTTTGTGTGAGTTAGTAGATCTCTGGGATCTGTGAACCCGTTTGTCAAAATATCTGAAAAATTTATGACCTTAAAAAAATAATTCCATCCGTGTTTTCCAATTCTAAAATTTTGACTTGCTGTCAAAATTTTCAACAAGACATTGAACAAACTCGTTCCTGTTTGTTATCTCCAAAATTGGTTATGGTATTAGATATGAGATCTCAAAATAATATGAAACACTCAAATATCTCTCTCTCTCACACACACACACACAAAAATTAATCAAAGCCCAAGAAAATAAAATAAGAAATCAAGGAACAAACAAACCAAAAAAGACAGAAAAGGACGGCATAAAAGTTCTGTCATTCAAGAAACTCTAACCATAAAGAAAGACCCTAATATTCTAACATGTTCAACTTTTAATAAAACACATCAAAGTTAATTAGAATATTCTACGGGTCAAATATCTTAAACTTATTAAAATTTTAATTATAAATAAATACCAAATAAATAAAGAATAAAATATTTGGAGAGTTTGGGTTAAACTCCAACAATTAGTAGAATTCCAAGCATTGATTATCGTGTATAACTTTTTTTTTGGGCGAGGGAGAAAAATGGGCTTGAACTCTTGACCTCAAGAAGACAAAATCTTAACAAGGTAAAAAGTACCATTGAATCACGTATAACTTGAATAATTGCAACTATATATATATAATTTTATTTAGACCTAAAAATCTGATCTAATTTACTGACATAATGACATGACTTCAGTGAAACTATTAGATAAACACCAAACTCTAATAATTGATGGAGCTCACAATCAATACAAAGGTAGCAGTGAATTATGTCAGTAAATTAGATCTCAATAACATTGTTCTATATATATATATATATATATATATATATATATATATTAGCAATACATGTCGTGCGTTGCACGTAAATAAATTTAAATAATATTATTTTTATAAAAAATATGAATTATATATGTAATTAAATTAAATAATAAATTAGATGTGAAATAATTAATTCATACTTTAATTATTAATTTATTCTATAAGTTTTTAAATACCTAAATTTTCATTTATTTAGATATTTCTACGACTCTTTTAGGCATTTGCACATCTAATTATATTATACAATTATTAATTTTTAGTTTGTTAAATAGATTGATTAGATCGTTTATAATATTATTATATTATTACATATTAAAAAATAAAATATAATATTTATTAAACCGTGGAATTCAATCTGATAACTATATCTATATAATAATTTAACATATATAGAATTTTACTAATTCTTCATATAGATATAGATAATTATAAATAATTGTACTACAAATAAATAAATTCAAAAAAATTTAGAAGTTCTTATAAAAGAGTCTAAAATAAATTGAAAGTTAAATATGTGTAAAAAATATAAATTAGAAAAAAAATATATATGTGGGAATAATTAATTTTATTATAATAATTATGAATAAAATAAAAATTTAAAAAACTTTCACCGACATTTATAAGTAATATCGACATATGTTTGATCACCAAAGCAAACAGCTAGCGAACCTTGGGCCAGTGTGTGTGTTGTCTCTCTCATGTAACGTTATGTGACAGCAGGCTGACTGCAGGGATTGCATTGCAAAATTAAAGGAGTAAGGCCCGTATATATGTAGCCCAAATACTGATCCGGTGCTAATGGGAAAGGACGTTCGGTTTGACGAGGTGCCGCCAACATCTATCCTTTTCCCAGATTTTCCTGGTCTGCCACTTAACTTTGTTGCTTTCTTTGTCATGTATATATAAAGACTAATACCAGTTGGACCTAAAAGTTTGATTTAATTTGTTGATATAGTGATGTGATTTTAATAGAATTATTGAATTAACATCAAGTTTCAATATTTGATGGGTTCTACAGTCAATCCAAAGATCATAATGAATTAAATCAATAAATTAGGTCAATAAATTAGGTCCCCTCATATATAAATAGGCTTAAGTGCAACGATGAATTAGTTTTTTTTTTAATAATCAAAATAAAACCTCTATTTTTCTTTCACAGAGAGAGAGAGAGAGAGAGAGAGAGAGAGAGAGAGAGAGAGAGAGAGAGAGAGTGAAGTTTGAGAAAATCGTTAAATTCGGATCCCATGCCAAATTATCAACCTGGCCATGGTGGCCATGCATATAGTATGTTTGTTTTTATGGCTCAAAAACAAGGTGGAGAGGGGTCAATCAGCCCAACAAGAAAAACCACGGAGAGATCAGTTTACCAGTGGCAGTCGGTCGTATATATTATGTCTCGAGGGTTTGAGGTGGAACTCTCCGATTGGTCTCAACTAGTGCGAAAGCCTCAATTCTAGGTGATTGGAACCACTTTGCTTTTACAGATACCGGAGTTGGCCAACTATGAAATGACAAAAGAGAAAGTAAAAGGTGGCTAATACTGGTCTGCTCTCAAATCAGTAGTTTTTTTTAACAGCAAGTTCTGAAAAACTTGGACAAATGACTAGCTGCTACTTTTATTCTTCGGCTGCATGGGGCCCTAATTAAAGATATCAATCACTATCAACTTGGACCACTTGACCATATACAAGGCACGCATATGGAATGGTGGTATACATGTCATTGTGGCAACAATTCTTTCCTTTCTTTTTGCTCACTTTTTTTTTGGGCTAGCTGGTCGGATTATTAAAAAAGCCCTAAAGAAGAATCCCACCGACGACCTCCTCTTTCCTTACAACTAATTCCCTCTTTTTTTCTTTACCTCCAACAATAAGATCAGCAACAATAGCTATGGAATGTTAAGTAAGTTGCAGTACTGCATTTCTTTTTTCACTAATTAAGGCCATGGGGAATTGCCTGTTTGGAGGCATGGGAGAGGGCAGTGAAGTGATCAAAGTAGTAACATCCAATGGCGGAGTAATGGAGCTTTACGCGCCGATAACCGTAGAGTCCATCACCGATCAATTTCCAGGCCATGGCATTTTTCGAAGCCATGACCTCTTCTGGAAACCACTTCCTCACCATGACTTGTTACTTGCAGGAGAGTCATACTACCTCCTCCCCCTCAACAACAACACAGGTATGGGTGGCCAAATTGCTCAAGTAGGCCATATAAGATCAAACAGCGCGCCTGATCAGTCTGTTGCTGTGCCGTATAGGATGTCTTTTGGTAGTCATCAAGTGTTCAAGAGATCATACACGCAGGTTTTATGCGGATATAACAAAATTGGGGTTTGGAAGGTGAAGTTAGTTATCAGTCCGGAACAGCTGTTGGATATCTTGTCGCAAGAGGCTAGAACACAGGAATTGATCGAGAGCGTCAGAACTGTGGCCAAATGCGGAAGTGGGGTCTCATCCGTCGCCTTTTCCGATCAGTGGAGTCTCTCTAGCAGTAGTAGAAATGCTTCCTCCAAGAAAGATGGCTTGTCAGAGTTTTAAAGGAAATTCATGGATTTTACCCTCTCAACACCCCCCTCCCAAAAAAAAAAAAAAAAACCACCTTTACCTTCATATTCTATGATCATTACTCAATGTCATGTTATATGTTGTACTGTGTTTTACAATGCGAATCTTGAGCTTTGTTTCAATTAATTACGTCAGTGCTAAATTCTTCACAAGCATATGCCCCCTCTCTCCCCTCCCCCCCAACCAACCAACAAAAAAAACCCGACCATATAGCACTAGCTCTTCGCACTCCAAATCCACCTATCATCGATCGAATAGCCATAAAAACAATCATTGAAAAAGCGTGAACAGCTATTAGAACGTTATGAAGCTGATGATTTCAACCGTTTTGATTCAGTAGTTTATGCAAGAACCTGATGAATGTTTAAAATACTTGAAATAATTGTGAGTAAAAGAGATACTCAAATTAAGAGTAAAACTCCGTATATATAAGCAAAATATAAAAATCATAGTAAGGGTAAAAAAGGGAAAAGAAATCCTAAAGGGAAAAGAAATCCTAATAAACCTAGGAAAGAGAAATCCTAATAAACCTAGACTATCTATACTTCAACACTCCCCCTCAAGCTAGGCGTAAAAATGTCAACTAAGCCAAGCTTGACAACGGAGTCCCGAAGAATAGACAGAGTGACAGGTTTGGTAAAAACATCCGCAACTTGATCACTGGTCCCCACAAACGATGGAGTAACAAGACCACTGCTGACCTTCTCCTGAAGAAAGTGAACATCGATCTCTATATGCTTCGTTCTCTCATGTAGTACAGAGTCAGAAGCGAGCTGAATAGCAGATTGATTATCACAATATAATGTGGATGGAGAGGTCACTGAAAAACCCAACTCGTCAAGAATCGATCATCACATGCTCCCCCATAATCTGAATCTGAATAACAGGCTAGAGAACCGGTCTGAGATCCTGATGCATAAAACAACCCAAGTCCAGGACAAGACTTGAGGTACCGAAAAATATGATAAACTGCATCAAGATGAGGCTGACATGACCTATGCATGAACTGACTAACTCGACTGACTGCGAATGAAATGTCCGGCCTAGTATTGGCTAAGTAGATAAGTCTACCTACCAATCTTTGATAAACTGTCGGATCTTTCAACTCCTCACCTTCAGCAGTAAGCTTCAGGTTTGGAATCATACGTGATAATGCCGGTTTGCACCCCAACATCCTAGTGTCTGAAAGAAGATCCAAAACATACTTTCTCTGAGAAAGAACAATACCTCTGCTTCTACGGGCAACCTCAATTGTATGACTACATCACTGAAGCGAGAGAACCAGGCTCGTGGCGACTGTTTCAGTCCATAAAGAGACTTACACAGTCGACATACCTTTCTAGACAGTCGACATACCTTTCCAGCATACTCCCCCTCACCACGAAAGCCCAGTGGTGCATCCATATAAATAATCTCTTCCAGATCACCGTGAAGAAATGCATTCTTCACATCTAATTGATGAAGAGGCCAAGAGTACTCCGCGGCCAGAGAAATAATTAACCGAACAGTAGTCAATTTTGCCACGGGGGCAAATGTATACCAAAATCACGACCTGGTACCTGAGTAAAGCCCTTCGCCACAAGTCTAGCCTTGTAACGATCAATAGTACCATCCGCAAGAAACTTCAGGGTGTAAACCCAGCGACAGCCAACAGGCTTCACCCCTGAAGGTAAGGAGACAAGATCCCATGTATGATTACGCTGAAGAGCGTCCATCTCTGTCTGCATGGCAAGAACCCACTGGGGCTCCCGCATAGCTTCCGAAATAGAGCGAGGAACCAGCGTATCTGATAAGGCCATAGTATAAGCTCGAAATGTGGGAGACAGATTACCATAAGAAACATAAGCAGAGATCGAATATAAAATCTTTGCGGTCCAACCATATCGATCAACTGGACGGCGATCATGCTGCGAGAAGGTGGCTTAAGCTCTGGATGGAGCTTCCAGCAAGTAGCCCTGAGATGTCCTGGTCGGCCACAATAATCACATTGACGGGAATCCCCCCGTCTGCGCTGATCTAGGGCGCCCTGACGGCGCTGGTCTGAGCGTTGCCTATCCCTGACTAAGGATCCTGAACGGTCATATCTCCCTGCCGAGCATATGAGAGCTCCTGAGAAAGCTCATAAACACGAACTCCCCGTCCTGACTGAGAATACATCTCTGATAATGCGCTCCATAGCTTCGGAACAGAGCTATGAAACTGGTGGATCTTGCAAACAGAGGGCTCCATTGAGCCAAATAACCATCCAAGAATGACACAGTTTTCAGAGAACCATGCAGAATATCCAGGGTCGGCATCAGCTGGCTTTGGGTGAGATCCCGTCAGCCAACCAAGCTTCCCTACACGGCCTAAGAAAAGTTGGAATGAGCGTGACCACTCAGCGAAGTTACGACCATTCAACAATTGTGCCGTAACTTTTTGAGAGATCATGCCCGGTAATGCTGGTAATGCAACTGTGCTAGTAGGCACTGTATACTGGTCAAACATAAAAGTGAAAGTACCCATAGATGTCTCAACGGTAGAGGTGTCAACAGTAGGGTTCTCAAATTCCTCAGTAGTAGCCATATCAACAACAATACTGGGGCACCCGTGACAGAAAAATAACTCTAAGATAAATAGAGGAATAAAATAAGGGAGAACAATATACCTTCAGTCGAACAGTAGCGACAAATAGGGAAGGTCCAAAAAGCTCCCAAATAACTCTAAGATAAATAGAGGAATAAAATAAGGGAGAACAATATACCTTCAGTCGAACAGTAGCGACAAATAGGGAAGGTCCAAAAAGCTCCCAAATAATCAAGTCACGGTGCCCAGAAATCCAAAATATATAAATAAGTGATCTACTGCATCAAGGGCAGATCAACAGAAAAGAGGATCCGCTCCCTCCCAAAAAAGTCCTAGAATAAAATCACAACGAAAGTTGTGACCCAGCAGTGGGCTGGACAATGATCTAGCAGTAGGAGTGGTTTTATTGGGTTTATTGGGTTGGATCTATTATTATTATTATATGGAGAATGGGTAAAGGGCGCGGGACAGGATATATATAGCCAGTCGGTTGGACAGTGGGCTGGTTTAGCATATGGTTATGGGCTGGTTTGGCATATGGTTATGGACTGGTTGAACTGGTATGGGTTGAGGTTGCTGCCTTTGTCGTGGATTAAGGTTGTGGTGGACTGGTATGGACTGGTTTGTCTGGGATGCGGCTAGGGGCTGGTATGGACTGGTATAAGGATAGGCAGTCAGTGGAAGACTGTTTGTTGCCTGGGCCGTCAGTGTATGGATTTTGGGGCTGTCGGTGTGGCCTGGTATGGGCAGTAGGTGGACTGGTTTTGTCGCTGGTTTGGTCGGTTTCGCTGGGCAGCTGATGGCCAGGGTAGTTTCGGCGGTATGACTGGTAGAGCCATACACTAACCCTATCCCAAACCCTAACCTTGCTCTGATACCAACTTGAAATAATTGTGAGTAAAAGGAGATACTTAAATTAAGAGTAAAACCCCGTATATATAGGCAAAATATAAAAATCATAGTAAGGGTAAAAAAGGGAAAAGAAATCCTAAAGGGAAAAGAAATCCTAATAAACCTAGGAAAGAGAAATCCTAATAAACCTAGACTATCTATACTTCAACAAAAATCTAATTGAACTATTAATGCTATTGTGGATGTATTAGCATTTTGTTTGATGGATCTAGAGCTTGGGAATCAGAATTAATGGTTATGCCAGTCCCTGCACCATCTAGAAAATCTTTTTCATCCCTAGCTTAATATTTTTTAGCCACCCCATGGTGGATTGGATACTCTGATCTCCCCTTCATAGGGGTCAGTGAGAGAGGTCTACATCCTTTTTGCAAAGTAAAGCTTATTTGAAGTTTATTACCGCACTATCTAGTACATCCTATTTAGATTCTTTTTTTTTTTTTTTGGAGGGAAAAAAAGGGGGGGGGGGGGTGTTTCAACTTTCAAGTTTCCTCACCCTTGATGAGCAGCTTAATCCTACCCAAAAAAAAAATCCTCCCCATAAAACCAGCTTTGGTTTTCTAGATTTTGTGTACTTTGAGAGTAAGTATACTACATAAGAGTAGTAGATGGGAATCTGAATCCACTGGGGATGAAGATTAACAACCATATACATAGACAAATATTTGGGCCTCAGACAGGTCAGAAAGGAGGCCAATTTCCAGGCTTGTTATATTATTTGTACATTCCGCAATAGCAGGCCATGAAGCCAGTGTTACATGGGAGCAGCTGGGCTCTATGGGTCTGTCTGCTTTCGGTGGGTGTGGAAGGAACCACGATATCACAGTATTTTATTCACCCCTACCTACTTAATGGAAACATGGCCAAAGTGATGCAAAAGTTGATGGGAATCCGCCCCTACAGGCCGGGGGGTGAAAAGTTAAAACCATTTTTATATACAACTTTTAGGCTTAAGAAGGCCACAGCCCAGCCCACTTTCCCCGCTTTGTAATCCAAGTTCTCCAATAGTGAGTGGATCACCATGGGGGTGCTGTGCTACGTACCGCGACAAATTTTTTTTTGTAACAACAGTAATATCACGTGACAATATAATGTGATAATATTAAAATAAATAAGTAAAAGCACCCCACAAAAATTAATAATCAACTTGTCAAATAAACAAATTACTCCTTACTCGTTCTCCATGTAAGTTTAAGTGGGATTTATCTTACTCACTTGGAGATTTATTATTGATTGGTAATACAATGTCATCAATAATGATATGATATTACCGTTGCGTTAAATATTTACTCGTTACATAGGTTCACCTGCCCCCTAGGACTCCGCTTTCAGTGTGTGTTATAAAAGAGATCATCCCTCCCTTATCAATTCATCTCCATTCCATCAATTGGAAAATTCTTGTTTTTGCTCTCTTCTCTTTCTCATTTCTATTATTTTCTTATTTCTTTTTGTTTGAATAAATGACCCAAGAGTGCTGGGGTCCTAGTCGGTATGTTATGTTTGGCCTGACCTTCGAATCCAATATTCTGAAAATGAAAG